GGAATATTGTAGAGAGTTTTTGTTTGCTGGTGTTATTCAAAGACTTTCTTTGGTTACTGTGATATGGATGTGGTAGTACCAATATTACTTTGTTATAGCCCTTGAAACATGTGTATCCAATAAGTAGTAGTCTTAATTAAGATTCGAGTTGTATTTTTAGTAATGGGGTATCTAAACATGTATATGTATCCACTATATATTAAATTTCGGATACATGATTTTTAACAACACAATGATATTAATGATACGACAGATACTCTACAGTCGTGATTTGTTCATAGATTCATGTGTTTCAACTACATTTCATATTTAGATACACATAATTAAATGTATATGCTTATTATGTATTCGAGATACATGTTTTTGGATATAACATATGCAATTGATACTTAATACAACAAATTAGTACTAGATACATAGAAAAGATACATTGAAATTAATATTATATATATATATATATATATGTAAATAGATACATAAAATTAATACTAGATACCTATAACAAATACATGAAATTAATGCTAGATACTTCTATGATACATATGAATGTACTTGCAGGACACTCATGTATTTAAGTGTTTAGTTTGTTGGATACATTATATATTGATAATAGATACATCAAATTAATGAATTTATTATTTTAAGAGTAATAATTTGAAATTAATCAAATTACATTACCAAGATATACATGTTTTTATCTTATATTAATAATATTAATGAATTTACTATTTCAAAGAATAATAAAATGAAATTAATTATCTATGTATTTTGAAAATCCTCAATTACTCCTCTAATTAAGGAAATAAGTTACAACCAATTAATTTAAATAAATAAATTTTGTATCTCAATTTTAAAATTCGACAGATACATGTATCTCATGTATCCTAATCATAAAATATGGTAGAGGAAGTAATATTTGAAACTATTGGGAATCTTAATAATTAAGACCTAAACTAGTGGGATTTATGTGATTTGCCCTTGATTTTTAGCATAAACAAAACATTTTTTAAAACCCAAAACTTTCTAAAGTTTCCAATTCAGCAGCTAAAATAAGCTCTTGCAAACATAATAAAACCATTTGGGCTTGGAGACACAATTAGGTTAAGTTTTGGGCTTAATTGGTCTATGCAACCAGCCCAATGGGCCTTCACTCTGATGCTGTGGTGGAGGCCGGCTTGAGAAACAATCAACCACCCCCACCAGGTAGAAAAGTTGACAGATAACTCACTTTATAGAATCGTATATGAGATTTCACTTCAAACGACTCATCGTTTAATTCTTTCATAAAATTGAAATCATTTTCACATTTGAGAAGCCCCTTCCCCTTCTTCCACTCCGCCAACCCCCATTCCCCCAACAAACCCTATCTCTTTCTTAAAAAAATAATTTTCTTCTTGTTTTTTTTTTAACCCCACAACATTCCAGAAGAATCAACAATGTTCTCATTCATTTTCCACAAAACATTAATCTCTAAAGTCAAATTACTAAATTGACATTTAGCGATTTCAGAATTTAAATTTTGTGAATTTTAGTATTATATCTATTGTATTTGTTCAAATTTATGAATTCAGACTTATTATTTGTTGTAAGTTTGCATCCACCCTTGTTGGTTGCTTGTGGAGGTCACCCTAGAGCAAACACGACCCCCACTCATCATGATAACAAAAAAATAGTACTTTTTATGATTTTATTCGCTTGGTGTTCAATATTTATATTAGGATTATAACTAATTAACTTTTAAATAGCGCCAATAAACCTATTTATCCCGCTACTATTTCGACAGTGCAAATCATCCTACAAACATCAAACTAATTTTATTAAAAGAACGTGATGTGATTCATTGGATCTAGCATGTTAGTAATTACTCCATTCGTTTAAAAAAGAATGACCTCTTTTCCTTTTTAGTCTCTTTAAAAAGAATGACCTCTTTCTTTTTTTGGTAACATTTTAATTTCAATTTTTCACGTGACATATTTAAGGCCACAAGATTAAAGGACAATTTTGTACATTTGACATAATTTTAATTTAGGACCACAAGATTCAAAAGTTTTCTTTATTTTCTTAAACTCGTGTCAAATCAAACTAGACCATTCTTTGTGAAACGAAGAAAGTACTAAATTCTTGTCGTAGCATCCACGCTTATAAGTCTATAAAGTGATTTCCATGCATAGATAGACCTTAGGACCTAGGCTCAAAAGACTATAAAGAGTAGAGCAAACAAGGACACATGTAATAGTTGAAAATCGAGTTTCTTTTTCCTCAGATGTTTGATATACGTATTGAATTTTGATTAAATTTGGATTCGCGTTGAATAATTTAACATTATAAGGTGAAATACTTTCTAACAAAAATGATTTCATACTCAGAGTTTGAACCCGAGACATCTGATTAAGAATTTTAGAGAAATAATGGAAATCCTAAAATAAACATTGTTGTTAACAACCTAACCACAAAATTCTAAATTATTTGATTCATTACCTATTATAGGAGATGGAGCAACAAATACATCCAATTTTTCTTCTTTAAGCTAAAAAGTGTCCTATTTCAAATAACCAAGAAGTCACCTTGGAAACTTTAATTTTTCCAATAGTATTTAACATCACATTCACAAGAATAAATGAAATGATTACAACAACTAGGAGGCACAGTAAAATATGAACTACCACATCAAACTTACTATTCCTTTCAATATAGCAAAATATTTATATTAATCAATTGTAGTGTTTTATTTGGTAGTTAGATTTATTTTAGAACTATGTAAAATGGAACAAAAATTTATTCTCCGAAAATAGTTGGGGTTAAATATGTTCTAATCGTTAACCAATAAATATTTTATCTTAGTTTCAATTTATGCATGTGATATTTTTTCTTTTTTTAGTTCGTTAAAAAGAGATAACACATTTCTATTTTACCCTAAATGAAATCATGTGTAAGGAAAAGTCACACATTTTTTATGATTTGTTTTGGGTTAATAAATTCAAAAATCTTTCTTTCTTTCATTCTTAAATTTGTACCCAATCAAATACCATTGCATAAATTGAATCGAACAAAGTATATAACTTAAATGTCTATAAAAATCAAAAGTGCAAATAAAGATAATGGTTCAAACCCTATCCACAAAGAAGTGTCCGATATTCAT